GTTCACTATGAAAGTAGTAAATTCTTCTCTTTTTTGGCACGCTTGTCTCAACAACTTTGGTTTAATCATGCATTCTTCTCCCCCAGTTTCTTCCTTAATAATCTTTATCTACTCTAAAAAATCAACGAGAAAGTTCGTAACCTAATGATACTTATTTCAGTCTTGGCCGAAAGAGAGGTAGCCTGAAACAATAGAAGGAAAAAATGTTTAACTGAAGCAAAACAATTAGAACAAACACTTTAAAAAAATAAAAACAAAATCATGAGGTAAAAATAAAACACCCATTTCAACTACAATAGACAGAAAATAGGAGCACTCTAAGATGTACCCACGAAGCCACATAAACATAACTTGCCAATTATACATGATTCAATAAACACAGTAAAACAGACCATTTAAAGAGTACAATGTAACAACCATCGTCTCTCCTTTAATTTTTTTCAGCTTTTTTCCTCTCCTCTTCAAAAGTTCTGTAGGAAATCCTGCTCGCTAAGATAAAAACTCATGATGAGACCATTGTCACGATTTTCAATATTTCTGCTGTTAACACGTGACGAACATCGACTTGTGCGTTGTAGATCTTCTCGGGATGAAAAACGGCTCTAAAAAAGACCATCAGCTGATGAAGTGAAAACTTGATCTCTCCACTTATAAACCCTTATGCTCGATGATCCCAACTACCTTAAATTCGCCATTCGTCGCAGGACTAGAAAAACCACTGTTAAATCCAGAATCGTCACTAGCTCGACTGCAATGGTCAGGAGTCACGTAGGAGGAGGGCATGCCAGTTACGGCTGGAAACATCGCTAATGGTGTCGCGGAGGGGCTCATATAAGTACTAGATGACGGTGGAGCCACTAATATTGCAGGAGATGTGTCATTCTCAATATCCTGTTGATACGATCCATCTACAGCTCGATCTACAGCTTCCATAAAGTGATAGACTATACTCTAAAAACACTGCGTTCCAAAAGTATAATTCTTAAATTCCAATTTCTCTTAAATTCCAATTTCAAGAGTTACTTACCGGATTGCACCGTAAAATATTAAAAACAGCATGCTTGGCATTCTGAATCACCGCTTCCGTCTTCGACTTGACAGCAGCATATAGAAGGCAAATAGCTGCTTGAACCGAAGGGACCAGGAACGCAAGTTTTTCTTCTAGAAATTGAAGACAAACAATGAAAACGAAAGTGAGTGAAATGGCTTATGACTGAGTGAGGTAAATTTTTTGACTACACAATAAGTTTGTCAAGAAAATAAAAGAAAATTATTTTTAAATTCTACAACTGCTTAACTTGTAAAAACATCAGAACAAAATTTTTTGCGGCAATCTCAAACGAATCATTGATTAAACTAATATTTTATCCATTAATTTCTCCAAATCTAGACTTCATCCATTAAATGTTCATCAAGCTGGCATTCCTGTTTACTCAGTGTAATAATAACCTCATGATGATGAATGGATTCCGAAAGACAAAACAGTGGAAACTAACTGCGTAACTATGACGGGGGGTATTAGACCTCATGTTGCGTTTTTAAATCCTTTTTTACTCTAAACAAATGCAATGCGAACATCACTGAAGATGAACAACAATATGTGCAGGTATATTCGAAGAGGTATAAATTTAAGGTCAACCCAATAACCAACATTACTCAGATGACATGCCAAGCAAAGCAACTGAAGCATTAAGAATAAAAAAAAAGAGAAAAATACAAAAGATCATGCCCTGAAATGTCTTCCATTCTGCTACATCTAATATAATACAAATCTTCTCACTAATAATTTTTTTTTATTTTGAACAACACACAAGACGATATCGGGTTCCGACAGCTAAGACAGATGCATCTTTATAGGTGGAAGAGAATAACAATGCACAAAATGCAACACAAAACAGAAACAAAAAAAAAGTGAAAGAATTGCAGATGTAAGATGATGACGACTTCAACAGTATGCCCACTACCAAACAAAGGAAGGTTTTGACGGTTTTTTGAACGAACGATATCGGAAATGTCAAAATAAATGAATAATTGAAGAAAGCTGAAAGTGAATAGAAATTAGAAGAAATAATTTTCAAAAAAAATTACATTGAAGAGTGCATAAAAAAGATCAAATGTTGCCTTTCTACCATTGTCAGTTTCAGCAGTCTCTTGCAGCACCAAAAGTAGCAGTATCATCGTCATCATCAACAACAACAACAACAAAAATTCTAATCTTCAAAACCGTTTTTGTGAAAATCAATCAGCTGTACAGCTATTTACTCTTCTTCATCACCATTACTACTCCATCATCATCAACTTCAAAAAAGCATCACCAGACAATTGAAATTAAGAAAATTTAAAAAAAATAATTAAGACTGACATTTTGTTCTGCTAACGAATCTCACTGTCTTGTTTGCATAAAAGCATCAACAACTTACTAAGCTCTGTCATTTTCTTCTCGGCCACTACACAAAAACAGCCACAGAAAATTCAAACCCTATCATGTGCCCCATCACCTACAACAAAATTTCCTAAATGAATTTCAAAAATTAAAGTTATCGACTGCCCTCACTGAATAAAAAATCTTTTTGACGAATATTAACACGCTTTTAATTTTCAGATCAAAAATTGAAGCTACTTCCACAGCTTCCGAACCAAACCTAACTATAAATGTTTTCGATTCAAAAAGAGCCCCGACTAAAAAACTGATCCCGTCAAAGGAAAAACCTAGTTTTCTGACCTCAAACAGAACGGTAAATAAAAGACGTGATATAACTCCATAAATATGTGCGACATAAACAAACAACAAAGAAGCCGAAATAAAACCTGAGGTGTATGTAAGAAAAAAAATAAATAAATTTTCTATCCATAAAATTGCTCTACAAAAAAAATTTTACGATTTTGCACCAATGTTTGAAGCTGGTAAACTGCTGTTAGAGACAACGAACCTTCGATTCTTACTCAACGTTCCAATCGCTCACACCATATTGTGCCTATCAGTGCAGATGCAAACAATTCCTTGCAATTCCTCAAAACGATAGTCTGAAGAAATTTATGGCAACTTTTCTGTCTTTTAACTTCTTTTTTTCCTCCTTCCTCTACAACAAAAAAAAACCCTCTCCTTAACTACTGCTAATGATTAATTCAAAGCGAAACCAAAAAAAAACAACAATAAAATACAAAAGTAGGCAGCAATGACCATTAAAAAAGGGTTAAAACATTTCCCTAAAACAATAGAAAGATCAGCTGTTGCATATATTCCTTCAAACAGAGACCCATATTTGCTGCTTTGACCTTATTGCTGGTCAAATATAAAAGAATGAGTAATTACATAAGAGCAGCAGGAGAGCAAATTATTAGACCTCGATGGAGTGGCCGTACCTAATACTACAACAATAAAAGTCAAAAAATGCCCATATTCTGCTTCCCTGTTACCTAAACCCCCTCCCCATGCGTCAATCGTACCGACTGTTCTCTTTCCAAATGTCGTCAAAATCTTGACGACAGATAGCATCAATGATTTAAAATCAGCAAATAATCATCCTCAACTACTCTGAACAGAAGACAAGGACGAAACACTTCTTTTCACAACCTGAAAACTAAAAAAAAAAAAGAAAAAAAAAGAACAAACATACATAAAAGAGGCAAAAACAGTGGAAACAATCCTAAAGTAGAAAAACAGTAAAGTTGTTTTTTTTTTTTTTCAAACGAATATCTGATTTCAAAGAACCATTAAATCACCAAAAATATTTTAAAATATGTAACACTGTTTTCTTCTCTATATCCACCTAATTTTTCCTTTCCCCCTTCTTCCCCGAGTTTAACAATATAAATTAAATTAGGTATTGAAAAAAGTCTTGGTGATTGTCATCTTAAAACAAGAATTTCCAGGTTAAAAAAGCGTATCACGTTTTTCGATAGCAATCCAAGGACGTCTGCAGTGACTAATTTAAAGACGTACGTGAAAAAGGTTAAGCAAAAAAAATTTTAAGGGAAAACTTTGAAAGAAATGCCAAAATGATGAGAAAAATTTTTGTGCACATCCGGCGAGGAAAACGTGACAAAACCTGTAAATAACTACGACTACTATCAACAGCAACAACCGTCTTAACCGTCTGGGACGCTCCAACGACGCTAAAAAAACCACTATCAATAGCTGCTCTTTCTTTTTCTCCAACTATTTCTTCGCCACATTTTACTTTTTTCATCCAAACATTTAACTGCTATACAAAAATTCTGTAAATTATTTCAAAAATAATATATGTAACAAACTGCCCTCTACTAATTAAACTCTACCCAACCTAAGTTGACCCAACTGCCCTAGACAATTTCAAAGTTACAGCCTTCCAGTTGTAAATGAGCGGCCTCAAACCATAAGTCACGGACAAGTGACCATTTGTATCCCTGAAAAGCTGATAAGTAAACGATATTATTCGTTTGAGCCTTTGACCGATAGGTTGAAGTTTCATTTAAGGCACTTTTGGAAAATAACGTGCACTTTTTGCGCAACTCATCAAACTCGTAAAAATCTCAAATGTGAAATTTCTTTCTTTTCTCTCTCTGAGAAGTGGAAGTGAGAGAGACTGCTTTTTTCCCCAAACACCGAATGTCTCCTCAGTGACCAGAAAAATTACTTTTGCTAGTCTCTCCACCAACTACCCTTCTTTTCATCCAATGAAAAGAAAGCGAAGTTGGACAACACTTTTATAAAATTCTTCAACAGTGGCTTAATAACGATTTCGAAACAACAGATTGTCGTTCAAAAAGAAAAACAGCGTAATTGTTGGATGGAAAAGAACAGTAAGAACTGTCCGTTCTTATTTTAAAAGCAATCACCGACAAGTTTAAACAATGCTCTCAGCCCCTTGAAATTGCTCTCCTGAGAAGTCTCTTTCTTCAAAGAGTTAATTAGGTATTACTAAGAACTTGATCATATTAGACTGCCGATCGTTTTAATGCCAGGAATAAATCTAATTCTCTGGCAACAGGTGCTCTATCTAATGAACAACAGAAGGACGTTTTGGGTGACAAAACCTGACTACTTCTGCAAAAAATAACACCGTTGGAAGGAAACAAAGAATTTGATAAACCATTAAACACAACTAACAAAGTTTTTTAACATTTAGTTTCGCTTCTACCCTACTTCTAAAACATCCGTAAAACCAAACAGTACTTTCGCAGCCAAAATAAACAATGGTTCTCACATTTATACCCTCTCTCGATCACTTATAGAAACATTCCAAAAAACAACTGGTTTAAACAAAAGTCGGTAAATCAGTCTTTATGGCCTATCTAGCAACAGCCTAGTAAAGCAAATTCCTGTGAAAAAATGTTCCGAAAAGACCGGACAACAATGGATAAAGACCTCGCGTACTGTTAAAAAAACTGTATACTTTCCAATCTTAAAAGGAATGAATGCAGATGGCCTAAACTGCTATCAGGCGCCAAACATTTCTGGATTATTAGGGCGTAATTTGATGAATCCAATCCATAACTTAAGATAAAGATTGCCGATAGAAATAAAATAAATTCAAAGTCCCAATTAGCCAAAAATAATCGCTGTAGTAATTTTTCAATTATATTCCGCCATTTTTCTTTGCTTTTTTTGAAGTGACGAAAGTTGTAAATTTTAAAATCTTTTTAATGTGTGCAAAATACTTTAGTGGTGGTCCAAAATGTTCTCGATCGGTGTTAATGAAATGCGTAAAAAGTTGTTACATGTCGGTAAACTGCTGGAGACAAATTTTACAATTTGAGTTACGACACTGTTGAGGGCCAAAGTGTCTCTTGTTTTCTCCGAACGCACAATTAAATCAATACATGTGAACTCAAATGGAGGTATGAAACAGGGATGATTGAATATACATATTGTATTGTGATCATATCGCCATCATAGATTTCCCTTTTCCTCTCTCATTCCCACTACTGACTACCACTACAATGATCATCATCTCTCCCTCTTCTTTTTGTTAATCAAGAAAATGAATGTTGCAAAGGAAGGAAAAAAGCAGATGGGCGAATTTATGCGCTGATAGATTTGTAAGGGTGATGTGTGTATGCGTGTATGGGCGCTCAAAAAATAGAATACAAAGGAGAATGTGAGATTTTGATATAAGATTAAAAAAAAAAGCAAATATTTCCACATTTTGCCTCATTGTAACCTGTAAACCTCAAAAGAACAAACTTAGTAGTCCTTTTTTCCCTCCACATTTTCAAAGTAAACTAGTTACATAATTTACAATGTTTTGGCTAAGTAATCCTTGAAACTTCTTTATGGCCGTACAAATGACTAAGCAGTAACACCATATAATCCGATTGCTGTAAGAAATTTTAGTGGCTGATTTTCCCAACTTCAGGTTCACAGAATGTGAAATGACTGACCACCAATAAGTGTTAAGACTACAAAAAGAAAATTGTATAAAACAAAAAAAAAAAAAAGAACTGAAGAAGGATAAACGGTACACTTTAAATCTCCTATCCACAGCAATAAAAAAAAAAAGAAAATATAATGAAAAATTTTTTCTTTCTTTTATAAAAAAATTTAAACTAAAGACGAGAACATGCGTGTGGGCCTATAGCCGATGACTCTAAGCAATTGTCATGTAAATGATTCTGCCTGATACCAGCACATAAAACCGCCGCAATGTGGTAAATAACGAGTGAACAACGAAGACCTCACAGAAACTAAACTGAATTGAACCAGTTACATAGACAGGGAGTTCAACATTGAATGAACAAGTCATGGCGAATTACAACGAATGAACAAGTGACACCAAATAAGACTGTCAAAACCACACGAGATTTATGCATCCAAAGAACCCTTATGGTGGTTACCATGTTCACCATTAGTGAGAGGAATCCCCCACCTGTGGTTACAGTAAGCACAGCCGCACAAAAAAGTTAGTTCCTTGAAGTGCGAGACTATGAAACAAAGAAAGAGCAGTTTGCAGATGTCAGAAGTGCAGACGTAGCAATGTTTTGGCGCAATAAGGTACCAAGGCACCAAGGCTGGCAATAGGTGACTTTTTGAAAAATGGGTGAAAGAACAAAACGAACGCCAATACGATGAGGAATGAATGCTTAATGATCTGGCAATAAAGGCTATGATGCATGCCCGTTAAACGACCACCCACCACTGTATTCACCATTAAGTTTCATCCGTAAAACGTCTACAATCCACAGATACACCGAGAGCTACAGAACAGCCATCTACGTATGTCATTGATAGCAGCGCTTCCATCAAAAATAATCACAATAGTTTAACGAGCATCAAGCACCACTGAAAGCTCAAAAAAAAAAAAAATTCATTTGAAAACTGCTCCATAATTACCCGCATCCCAGATTCTTAATGCGATATTCTTTTCAATCACAAGTTAAGCCAATGGCACATATCACCAGCTATTTCTTTAACAAAGTTTAAGAAGCATTTGGAAGCAAGACTGGCGCCCAGCGCCCTTTCATTACTTTGGACGAGGTGGATGATGAACGAATTGATGAAAAAATACCGCCTGCATACTTTTCATTTTCACACCGCTCAAAATATTTCATTTCTTCGTTCAAGTTTCATCCATTATCATCAAATAAATGCCGTTTAATTGTATTCCTATATAGAATGAGCAACATGGGAAAATCATGCAATGTAGAATATCAACTTCCTTGCTATACAGCATTTAGCCCTAATATACTATCAAATTAAAATCCAAACAACTTTTTCCATCAAATAAGTGCCAGTGGCTAGCAAGTTCTGCAAAGTCTGTAGAGTATGCAAGCACTAAAAGAAAAAAGCAAAAATATTTCAGATGAGAAGAGGCATGGTAAATAATGATGTATTCAATCTTACTTTTTTTTTTCTAAAAATTACGAGAACTAAAGCTGCTGAAAATATGTAAAACTTCCAACGATGATAAAAATACCCATCACAATACCCATGATAAGACAGACTGTGAGACCAAATTATTTATAAGAACTTATGAAGTAAGTGATAGAAATTTTCAATGAAAGTACCTAATTGAATACGATGTACAGCATTCCGACAGGCCACATTCAAGTGCTGCAAGGAAGTATAACGAGCGGACACCTGATCAAGGAAATCCAGTGCTGTCACAGTTGAAACATCCCAATTCAGCTTCGTGAGCACGAGAAGTTCCCAATCCTAAAAATTCCCTGCCAGCTGAATCGCCAAAAATGTTCATAAGTTAAACTACTATCTTGTAACTGCTAAACCTTTCACAACTAGTCATCCACAACCAACGCCATTTACAAAAGGGTAAACAGAAAGTAAAAATAAAAATAAGAAGAAAGTAATCATTTTGGCGAAATAAATATTAAAAAAAGAAACTTAAAGGAAAAAAAGAACAGAGCAAGAAGAAAATAAAGATTACCAAAATTTCTTTACACTCTACTCCTCCATCCGTATAATACGCAATCCTTTTAGCATTCAGTGGTTGAGGGGCTTTGACTTTACTAGCTATAAAAAGACACACGCTGGCCAAAACTTGCAAATCCTCACGACATATAGGTTGGACACTCAAAAAGCGATCCACATAAGAAACAGCCAAGGGAAATACATCCGGTTCACATTTTTCCTCTTCGCATACCTAATAATTGACTTACGGTAAAAATGGCCTTCAAAAAACTAGTAAAAACACTCACTACCTACCAATCCTGCACCGTTGTGACGTTTTACCTTAGTTTCATAAAATCCTGAACAATCACTCACTAAAAAGATACTAATAACTAATCAGAGGAAAAAATAATACATCATAAAGCCATTCCATTGCTTGCTGCCGATTTTTGGGAATTAAGTTTTGTTGTAAATTCGCAAAATAGTTTCCTCGTGGGCTGTCTTGCGAGTTAAACAAACTATCCAAGCAACGATTATCCTGAATGAATGATAGATAAAAGCGCATGTACATTAGAAAGTCAAACAAATTATGATAGAAAGTCTTGAACAAAATGCTTACTAAGAAATTCTTTAAAAGTGCAGATTATTACCATAAAAAAGAATTAACGATTTTTTTAAGAAAAAATAACACAAAAACCTATTAAATTTAATGAAAGATAAACGAATATAGGAAAAGAAAGAAGAAAATGAAAAGAGAAGGAAAGAACAGGACCCCTGTGTCCTTCCGAATACTGCCAACAAAAATAATAAAGAATAATAAAATAAAAAAGTAAAAAAAAATGGAAGGAAGAAAGCGTATTCGTATTGCTGTGAAGCTGTGAAGAGTAAAAGAAGGAAAAAGTGCAACATGGAAAAAAACAACCAAATATCATTAGCAAACAACAAAAACAACCAAAAATTTCGCAGTTAGCAGTTTAAAAAAAAAATTAAAACAGGGAAAAACCATTGCAAGACAACTCGAACCTGATGTATCGCTTTATCTTTTAATGGTGGAACGCAAGGAAACTGTGAGTTGTTCAGTTTTTCTGCAGGAGCAGGTCTTTTTCTGTTAGTCGGCAACTAGAAGAAATAAACAAACACTGAACAA